AAATTCTTGAAATGGGAGGTGCTCTGAAGTTCCAGATGTTCAAATTTGATGAAATAATGTCATTTTGACCACAAGTTGTCTGCCTCGCCAAGCCTTATGTTTTATTTTTCCGGAGTTCAAAATTTATTATCCATTACCTTACTGCACATTTTGCTTTCACCACCAATATGTACTTTTTGATACCACGTAACTTGTAAACCGTATGGAATACAAAAAAAACAAAGACCACATCAGTGTTGGGCTTTACATGCTCTACAAAATGCAAAAAAGAATGGGTCTCTAGCATTAATGGTTCCCGAATTAGAGACAGTTTTCAGTTTCGGTATCTTATGGCCGCTACTCCCGTGAAAATGCACCGATTGACCCCAAATTCACGGAGATGAAAGATGACCTGAAGGGTAACACTTTCCAATAATATTATTGGTTAAGTCTGTGTGGTGTCTGAATAACAGGGCAAAAAAAATTTTTTTCCTAAAAAAATTTCATTTTTTTGAAAATTTTGGCCCATTTGACCTTGAAATAAATAAAGGTCAAAGGTCAAATCCAAGGGCATATTTGAAATCTACACATATGACTTTTGGAAAGCCGTCTGTAGAAATTTTTCCCATAATTCCTTCCGTAGGGTAGATTAGCATTTAATTTTGCCATTTTTAGACAAGGGTGCATTGCAATGAGTGCCACACCTAGACCCCAATACCGACAAAGCCCAAATTTTACGTGGAACGAGTTGAGATTATAGGTGACCTAAATCCAAGAGATGGGTACGGAGGCCCTTACCGTCTAGGAGGAGAAGTGGTAATGGTAGCCATCCGGCGGAGCCGGGGGAGCTGGCGGAACGATCCGGACAGGACTAAAACCATGTGTACCGCCAGCGCTAACGCTGGTGGTACAATAATCTGATCATGGTGATTTTCAAATGCAGCCCCTCTTTTTGTCAAAAAAACTTAATTATAAATAAAGTAAAACAAAAACAAGTTTGGCACTTATGAGGTGAACAAATGTGTCAGACAACAACAGCTATGTTCATTCACAATCCTTCCTGATACTAAAGTCAGATTATTGAAGAACATAAAAAGATTTTTGCACCGTATACATGTACAGTACATGTACATGAAGCTACCAGTCAACCAACTTGTTGACTTTCAGCAGTTGCACATTTACTGGAACCACTGTCTGCTGGCCTCATGGCTGCTGCGGAAGATTTCTGCACCACAGTTTCTGACTGCTGTTGTTTATTTGTGCCCTGTGTGTCTAGCCTCTGTTGTTGTGACTGTCTCTGTTTGAGGACATGTTGGTACTGCTCTAAAGTTAACAATCTCCCAACTTGGTCTTGAAATTCATGCAGTCTCGGCAACACTATGGCGATGTAACCATCTGTATCAGGCTGGAAGATAAAAGACAATGTTAGACACTTGGACATTTATATATGATACAAGAATTCAGAGAAGGCAGGTGAGATTACAGGCACTCAAATACTGACCATTAGAAGTGAAGTGATTTCTTTGTGCTTCTGCACCAGGATTGCCTACCAAGGGTATTGCAATGTAAGGAACCCATGTACAGTATGTTCTATAGTCCAATGTTGTTGTCAGTGATCACACAGGGGGTGTGGCCATCATAAACGTTGCAATTTGTATCCCCAGAGAACTTTACAAAAATGGTTTTGTTGAACATACATATGGACAGCAGCTATCTTCCACATTCACAATAAAAGAATCTGCTACTACATTGTACAGCATGTCTGCATATAAAAACAATACCAAAATTAACCATCAAACAAGCCTATAGATTACTGGAAATATTTCACCTAGAATATAGGTCAAAGGTCAAATTCAAGGGTACCCTTGGATTCACAATAAAGGAACTATTCGAGTTCAAGAGTTAATATGAGTTAGTTTTGGAGATATATTTAGTGCATTGTAAAAAAAGCATTTCACTTTAGAAGGTACATGTAGGTCAATGCATTCAGTGAGAGGCTGGCAGAGTACTAGTAAGGATCAATCTACTTGTACATGTATGTACCATCTACCAGTACACCATGTTGATAATTCTGTCAGTGCATTACTTGTGGTTCTACTGGACCATTGGACACAGTGCTTAACTCCCTTTAGCATCTTTTATCTATAACAGACCACCAGGCTACCAGCCTATTTTCATTGTTAACAGGTACAGTGTATAGACTAGGTACAGGTGGTCTAGATTGTGAAAATAGAGAATGAACTTAAATTGATGCAAGTATATTATATAAAAACTAACATGTACTCTCTACTCTTTTTTATTTTTGATAGTTTATATATAATTGAGCACTATACAGAAAATCTGTCAACACATGTCATGTGTACCTGAAGACGCGTTAAAATGTTTGAAATGAAAACAACAAACGTGGCATGCTCCAAAATTACCAAACTTTGGCACCTTTCCCACTATTCATACTATAATGTGGTTTCAGAGCTATAACTGGAAATGGGGGGAGGGGGGGGAGTGAGAAAGACTGAGCCTTTTGGCTTAGAAAGGTCTGCTCTGCATTAAACTTTGATGTAGGATCTATGCCATATCTCAAGTTAATATGGGTCAATCAAAGGAGTAAAAATTTGCACTTTTTTCAGAAAAATACCTCCTTTTGAAACAGCTGGCTACATGCCAGTGCATGTTACAATGCTCATTTTGTTTTGGAATGTAAATGAAGACCTGAAGCTGCCAACTACAAGAAGTAGAATTTTCTAAGAAATTAAGATCTTGCAAAACAGCTGTTGGCAACTTACTTTAATCTAACATCCCCACCATATTATATCAGTGATATGGCTGTGGAATTCCCCTCCCCACTTTTACTGTGCCAACAAACACAAGCTTTGGAATGTCTAACAACATCAGAACTACTGAAAATTCTTCTCTCCACCACTTCCTGCTCAAACATTATGTAACATACACACTCTGATATACTGTTCCTCATTCACAATAATTCAGTAATGGCTTTCCTGCCAACCGGAGTCTATTAAAATTAAACTGAACTCCCTAGAGGTAATTTCCTAATGGATGTCAAGGCTACACTAGTGCTGTGATCTAAGCAAGGCCCCCTGCCTCGGGATAGCCTTGGAATAAGAAGTGCATGTGACCTGTTGCTCTGCCAAAGTTAAGACAGAAATGAAAAAAACTTTCAAGTGATGTCAAGTGCTTGGGGTTATATATCCTAAAACACATTTTATAACAAACTAATGAATGTGTCGGGGGTTGTGGAGTTACAGTTATGTATTCCAAGACACATATCCCAAAAATTACCATATGTGTGTCTCTCTCCATTACGTGTGTGTGTGCATGCGCCCACACATGTACATGTATTTGTGTTTGTGTGTTTGTATGAGGGGGGGGCTATGAAGTGAGGTTACAAGTTTACCTCCAGAGGATGCATTTACAGGTGCCTTTAAAAAAGCTTCCAATAATGATAAAAGCTCTTGTTGTTAAGTATATGATGGATCTTTAAATAAGAAAATAGGGTTCTATTTTTTTTTTTTTTTGTCTAATGCATTATAGCAATGAGTCAATGAACTAATGCTGGTGAATGCTTCCTTATGAATTGCTGAAATATTTGAGTGACAAAGGAGACTATCTTAAAGATTTTAATAATTTCAGTTACATATAAAACAGGCTTGGATTTCCAGTAACACATATAAACCATTTCCACCAGTTTCTTACACTGCTAAAATAAATTCCAGGTGCTAAGTCATAAACCAAATTAAACCCTAATTCTTGCAAAAATAGCTTTAAAACATCACTTTCTTCAAATTTGTGGTTGTAAATTAATCTATTTATTTATCCCTCCAATTCGTAAAAGTGCCATAAATGACATAGTACTGCGGTCACATAACATAATCATCACTCTCACTCCCACATTTGGATGTATAGCTGCATGCACAATATATTTATTGCATACTTATCCAAACGAGACTTACTGCTGAGGAATATTTATAGGACATAAAAGAAACCAGAGACATCTGTTCAAATATCATTTTTCTGGAAATTTTTGTGGCAAAGACTTGATTTTGAATGCATCTTTAAGGAGACAATGTTAAACAAAGCCTCAAAGCTGTCAAATGTACAGACAAAAAGCAAAAAATGAAGATGCAGAAAATAGGTCATTTTGTCAATTTTGATACAATAATAAATAATGCTTTTAACAGCACAGTCAATCCAGACTAAAATTTAATCATGCACAACAGGTAACATGGTCAATAAGATTACAGTTTCAGGACCATATGTGAGAGTTCAAATTCACAGGAAATGTGTAAACAGGTGTTTTTGGCCAAGAGTTCATCTTCTTCCAGAAAAAAAATATTTTGTTGTATTACCTTCTGTGTCAGCAAGCCAGGAGTTCTGACCAGGTTCTCATTTATCTCCACCAGATGTCCTCGTATGCAGCTGTACAAGGTGTATGTGGATTGGTCAGAACATGTCACATGACACAAAGCAGACAATTCTGTCAGCCACTGACCACCCTGAAGATGGAATATATGGAATTATTTGTTGGAGCATGTTGATTTCCTTTTTATTATCAATTTCATATTTTTTACATAGGAGAATGCAAGAATATTTTGTTTAAGATGCACATGCAGAGTGTATTACTTTCATAAAATGGACTTTGACAAACCAAAAAGCATTTTTCCAATAAATATATCCAGAAAACAATTACATTATCTGTGGTAATGTGTACCACTTTTAAACTTGTAATACATACCTTTTTCCCCTTCCCAGTCACCTTGTTGTCCATTCTATTTGTCTTCTTGTCCACCTGGAAGTTCACTGCGCAGACTGTCTTGTGCTGTGACAGGATGGGGTGACACCTGGCGACCGTCACCACACAAATCCTGCACACAAAATAAACATCACAACATTACCACTGTGTCCTTGTTAAGCATGAATAAATATGGTCATATCTTTAAAGTTGCATAGGAAATCAAATATTTGCCACTAAACCCAACCAAATGCCACTGAAAAATTTTCAAACAGCATAACTTACGGAAATACAAATGGGTGTCATTTCAAACTTCTAAAAAAAATGATATCTGAACACATATTTTATTTCCTGGCTGACCAAGAGATTAACTTGGGTTATCCCTTGCATGTTGACTTTATTTGAGTCATATATTATTAAGAAACTATTAGAAGTGATTTATATGTGAATCCATGCTCACTTTCTATGTTACTAAACACTTTAACCTTCATGTGGTTTTCACCCAGTAAAGACATTAAAGGTATCATTTAGGCCTCATTCCCACTGAAGTTATTGGTCTACATATATCAGTCCAAATCTGCAGGGACTCTCGCTACAGTCACTTTAACAGATGAACACGCCTCCTCTTGTTTCCAATATATACCATACTTGTAATAAGCTCCAACTTTTCTGTATTCTTCTCAATTCCAGGAGGAGTTCAAGTTTCACTGCATACTTTTTAGACTAAACAAGAAAGTGTCTGTGACAACAGTAATGGGGGTGAAAATCAAGGTAAGTTGTGACTCACTTTTGAAAATGATGTATTGAACATAGGCAACATGGCGTTCCTCGAACAATGATATCTCTTAATCTAAATGAGATGACTAAAAATCTCAACTTTTTGTTCAGACCCAGATTTGTGGCTATCTGCACACCTTTATGTACATGTAGCAGATGTAATTATTGGAGGAAAACATGTCTATTCCATTTGTTTAGAATTTGCACAACTTTACCTATTTGAGTGTACCAGAACACACTGGTCTTCTCCAGGAACTTTCTTCACATCTAAATAAACCAGAATTATACAAATAAACAGAGGAATAACCCAGTAATTCAATGGTGACTTAGTCAATGATATACAGTACATATAATCAGAAATCCTAAAAGAAACAGCACCAGGGCTTAAAGCGATGAGCTTTTCAATTAACATGTTTCACGAAGCCGCAATGAGATTACTAATAACAATGTTACTGACAACTACTGCATTGTGATCTCTGATAACTTCAATTTGAACTCAATAAGAAAAAAATGCAGCTCATTTTGGTTGACCATGCAGTGCCAGTGACATAGAAATCTGTGCATCTGTTCAATTACAGACTCGAAGTAAAGTATAAGCTGCATTTCAGAGCGTACCAGGTTTGTATCTTGGAGTAAAATACCGCTCTACAACAGATGGGTGCTGGACTGTTCTTGTTTCAGCTTCAACCAGAGCCGCCGCACGTGTGTTGTCATCCATTTCCTCACTGTAAACAACGTCCAGGCGGCGACACTATACGGCCAAATACCAAGAGGAGCCGCCCCACTACAAGAAGAACGCTTAGTCCCTCGCTCATTAGTCCTTGTTGTTAAATGCAATTTGAGAAAAAATCTGTTTTATTTGGACGAATGTTTTTCTTATCTTTTTCTTATCTTTCTTTGGTAACTCTTAGCATATCCCTTAAAATGTCAGTGTATGGCCCCACTGTTGTGAGAAGTGACTCGGCAGTGGGACTAAACATGACACATGGTCAAGTCACAATATTTATATCTGTGTAACTGTGTTATTTGCTTATCTATTTCTTTTTGTCATTGTACATGTAGTTCTCCCTCCCTTGTAAGTTTGAACCACTCCTTTTGTGTAACATATGATTGTATCCATATGCCTTTCGCTTTATGTTTATGGTAAATTTATCTCACCGCTTAGCTAGAATATTTTGTGAGAAATTTGACTAGTACAGCTGTTCATTATATAAAAATATGCATTTTTTCATTCACAAACACGCAACACAATTAATGCACCGATTGTATTGCCGTTAGTATATTATATTGTACAAAGTCATGATAATCTATGTACCAGTACAGAATAAATAAATTGAAATTGAAATTGAATTGAATATAACGTGCTGGATTACTAAATACTTTGTCAAAAGAGGACTTTTGTAAGAGAATCTTTGCAAAAGCAGGATCTAGTAAAAAAATATGATGATAAAGTTTTATCTGGAGGTACACGAAATTTACTCTGAATAATAATAATACTGACAACAACAATCACAATATATATAATAATAATAATAATAATAATAATAATAATAATTTATTTATTTAAATCGCACTACACATGCATCTCAGGGCTGTTTACGTATAAAACTAAAATTACAAAGATTAAGTAAAAACTAATATAAAAATAATAAAGACTGAAAATAATAAGTTAATCAAAATATTCTCTAAATAGAAAGGTTTTCAATTTCTTTTAAACTAAAACAAGAGACATCTAGAGAAAGTTTCAATTTTTTAATATAATTAGACCATGAACTTGGCGCTGCAGTCTCAAAACTCCCGTGACCTTACAGAGAACTGGTGTAATGTGAGGAGACGAGCATCTGAATTTTTAAAATCTGCTTTCTGTAAATAAAATCATCGATTCTAATTCATTTTTTATTAAACATGTTATTCGTGATGTGGTTGAGAAAAGACAATTTATTGTTGATGTGACAGGAACAGTGGTCCGCTAGGAACCGTAGTTCGTTCCCCAATACTTTGTACAGGTAAAAGTTTTCTCTACTTCTATGGTCTCATATAGACTACTACTATAACCCCAATACTCCCACTAACCTAAACCTGTATTCCATCATATTGGACCCCAGACTTCCATTCCTAGGACTACCATTCCTGTCACACTGATGATAGACCTGGATCTGTCACTCGTAAGATTTTATGTGCGTCGTCCATTCCTATTTAACAGACAAACCGCTACCTCGCTCTTGTAATTATTTTGTTAGTTTATTTTTACTGCTGTAAAGCGTGGATAAAATAGTTTAAAACGCCCTCACAGTGCCGTTGTTTTTACGACTTCAGCTGCTGGGGTTAGGTGAAGGGGCGAGGGGTGTCATTAATATACGCTTCCGTGAAATGGTCAGAAGAAATAATATATTATTCAGCCAGTGGAATGTCGTATCCCACTCTCCCCTATTCTGCCGAACTAATTGCAGGTGAATATGGGCTCAAAACTCTTCTTTTAAAAATCATTTTATAACAGGGGCGATCAGATGCAGAGAAAAGTGTTGCAACTTTACTTCATTAGAAGTTTTAGTCTTTTCAATCGATTTTTTTATCTCCAAAAAAATCCTATAAATATAATGATATATTCTGTAACTTTTCTAAGCTGTGCATGGAAAATAGCGCTTTTTTGCCGTTGCTCGACCGCCCACTGAAGCTTCCTACTCTAAGCGGTGGATCATTCGGCTCGTGTGTCGGTGATGCGCAGCCAGCTATGCAGGACAAATTGAACATATCTTAAACATACATGTATAAATAATTCCTTGAACAATTGCAATATAATTTTCATATAATAATACTTTTGGAAGATGCTGTTTATTATAAAAAATATTGCTGCAATAACGGGTANGTTTCTACAAGTATTCTCTGCCCAAAATGCGTAAAAAAGGAGAGTTATCTTACCATGTTGTTTAGAAAACTTCTTTTTCTTCTGACAACCCGTCTTCACTGCCGTTCACCTCTATGTTAAAATGACCACTCAGCTTCGCTTCTAACACCACTGCACGTCACTTCCGGCACAATTCTGACCAATGCTGATCTTCTCCGGTTCCCTTTATTTGACAACATGATATTTTAAAGCGTCTGTGCTAGAAAACCGGACTACATGTATCTAACGTTATGTTGTCAAATTCCACGTCTTTTCTCGGTCAAGGTTTCCCCACGGTTTTTTATAGCACTGCAAAAGAAAACAATTGTCTCATACCTCCAGAATGTAACACTACGTCTTGGGATTGACAGGTTGGGATCAAATTCATAAAATTTACTTCAATTTTGATGGAAGCTGTCAAGTGCACGCGAGTTTGATTGACAGTTTTATGAACAAACGTCAATCACATTCATTACATTCTTCTCTCAGACCATGTAAAGCTCATACAAATCCCGGGTTTTTTTGTGGCGCATTTGCACCCCCACCTTTAATAATTACATCTTTCTTTTCAGATAAATTTCATTACGTTGCTATAATTTATTAACCTTATCGAATACTCTATACTTCCCCCGTGTCGAGTATCCCGGCGACTCCCTTCGCCACAAAAGATTTCATGTAATTATTAAACAGAGCAAAAATTGTCTCTCTTTTTCTGTAGTATTATAAAAGTTTTTATACCCTGTGATTGACAAGGTGCCAATCAAATCCAGTTAGTTTTGATAGAAGCTGTCAAGTAATAACAGTTTGATTGACGGGTTATATAAACAAACGTCAATCACATTCAATACACTCTACTCTCAGACCATGCAAAGCTCAGGCTTTTATATCCTTTGATTGACAAGGTGCCAATCAAATTCAATTAGTTTTGATAGAGGCTGTCAAATAATAACAGTTTGATTGACGGGTTATATAAACAAACGTCAATCATCACGCATTGTGATTATAGCTGAAAATGCCGAAAGAGAGCGCTAAAATCAGAAGTTAGGATAGTTCATTTGCAAAATAAAACATTTCAAAAGAATATATACATCCCATTTCCAAAACTAGTTCTCTTTCTAAACCCTTTCAGCGTGTCAAATATGACAGAAAGATGACATATTTTTTTTCTGGATGCAGAGCATGTGACATTTCAAAATTAGTACAATTATATATCTGTGTGTGTGTGTGNTGTGTGTGTGTGTGTGTGTGTGTGTGTTATGGTGTGTGTGTGTGTGTGTGTGTTATGGTGTGTGTGTGTGTGTGTGTGTGTGTGTGTGTGTGTGTTATGGTGTGTGTGTGTGTGTGTGTAAGAAAGAAGAAGAATTGTTTTTTGCATTATGTCCGGAATTTACACAATTTTTACTGTTTAAGTCTTCTTTCCGCAAATAAAAAGATACATAAATCATTTAATAATAAATAAAAACAATATAAAAGTTATTAATTCATCTTCATTAAATGTAACATTTGTGTTGTGGTTGAGGTAAGTAGTTTAATTCTTGCGGGACTAAATATTAGGCCTACTGTGAACAACTCCCTAGACATTTTCATGTGCGTCGACCATTCCTATTTAACAATCAAACGGCTGCCTCACTCTTGTAAATATTTTGTTAGTTTACTTTATTGAAGTAAAGCGTGTATAAAATAGTTCAAAAAGCCTTCACAGTGCCGTTGGGTTGCCGCTTTATTTCATTAAAAGTTTTAGTCTTTTTCATCCATCTTTTTACCTAGAAAGATTTAAACTTCTTAAATCTGTTTTCGTCAGTCAGTTTTTTACCGATGCTCGACTGACCATCCATTTTACCCGAAAGATATAAAAGTCAAATCTTTATTCTCATTTTTTCTGTCACTTATTCACTTGCTTTATTTGTGAAAAGTAAGGCTTCTGAATCTGGCCAGTAGGGAAGACCTGAGTTAGTTGACTTAGACACCACTGGCCTTGTGGAGCCAAATGGGAAAAAGTTGGGCAACAAAACTGGCTTTAGAACGAGCAAAAAGGACTTAACTACAGATGTAACGCCGTAGTTTTGCGAATATAATGTCACATAGTTCACAATTTGAGAAAAAGAAAACGCACAAATGATGTCAGGTGCGGGAACTGGCCCCTTGGCGGCCAATTTGGCCTATAGGTCGGGGCAAGCTGCATATACTTTAATAACGTAGCGATCCGTGTTAACCCCATGAATGTATTTTTACTCATTTTATTATCTTTAATTGATTTTGCTTAATTCGTAGTCCATATGAGGGGGTTATATTGATATCGATGTTTCCATACGTTTCTTTCAATATTCTGAATTTATGTTGAAAAATCAAACCCAAAATCCTGGCTCTTACTTGCCGCGATTCAAGCGGTCCAACTAACCGTAGGAGCATATTTTTTATTTCAAAGAATTGCAGGCGTTTTCGGTGCTAGAATAAACTCCGTTTAGATATTCCTGCGAATTTTTAATCGAATATTTAGTTTGATGACTTGTACGCATCCTTTATTTTATTACTAAGCTTTGAAAATAGATTTAAATATCTCTTCAACATAGTTACTTTCTACTCAGATGCGGGAAACTTGCGTTTAGACTCACCACTGAAGTAAAACCTTTATTACGACCGACGCTTTCTGTAGTGTATCTATGGACAATTAAGTATTTAAGAACTATCAATTTCTCGGACATTATTATTATTATTATTATTATTATTATTATTAATGTCCCCATCTGGATTTTATTATTATTATTATTATTATTTTGGATATGGAATCATGTGTAGAGGCATTATTTCTCAATTTAGACACAAGCTTGGACAAGTTAGAAGAGATCACACAGCATTCCTTGAGAGATTTGTGTGATAAATACTCAATATTTAAAATCACATTTCTAGGCACTTTTTTCATATATGACTATTGGGCAATATATGCCGGGACCGATTCTTTTGTTTGATGACATCATTTTGATACTTTCTTTTGTTGTACAGCTGTTGATCTCTGTGTGGGACTTGGGGAGCAGTGATGAGCACTGTAAATGGGATAATATCACTATTGTAAGCGGCCGGATGACATGAAAGGGATTTCCATTTTTATGTTTTAAGGTTATCAAACAGTAACAACACAAGTCTGCGTTCTTTTCACAGTTTATTGTCATCTATATACAGCATCATTTATCTAGCCTGGACTTGCAGACACTGTAAAAACTTAAAGGAGCAAACTGATAATTAACACTTGGACACAGTGCAGTGGTAGGACATGAGAGGCCAGCTGGACTAGGACAGGAGCTAAGGATATGTAGAAGAAAAAAAGCGTGGTTATACAACAAATGTAAAAATTGGCGGAAATGTGCACTGACATGGCAGTTACAAACTTCAAAAACAAAACAGTGACTGCATAATAACTGTTGCACAACAGTAATTTGGCAAGGCCTCACTGCTGCAAGCCTTTGTTCACCTGTAGACCTTTGCTATAATCTGACAACACCTAAAATGATGTAAGCTTATTACATCTACTTATTGCTTGAAAGAAACAGCACACTGTCAGTGTAGATTTTTATCAATCAGTACACCAATTCAAATTGATCTATACAGTTTTGAAGAGTATGTTCTGGTGTTCCTTCATAATTTTTTTCAAAACTGGACATTGAATAGTTCAAAATTCTTTCAGTGAAATTAAACAGTTGAAAAAGCAGATACTGTTACATATAGATAACCCAGCTCTGTGGGTCATGGCAATATCAAAGTTCCAATTTATGAAGAAAAAATTAGTGAAAGTTATTGACCTTTGAGAGAATTTGTGATCGTAAAAATAAAACATTTTCCCAAATACAAAATAATTTGAAAAATCTGGTGTTTGCCAACAGTGACTGCCAGTGAAGTTTAACATGGATGAGCACTGCTTTTTTAAATATATAAAAATCAGTCATACTTGTAAAACATTTTTAAAATTAAGTTTGGCTAATTAGGAGAGAAATTATCAAATGATGCCTTACTGGATGCAGGAAATACCATGCTGAGCAGAGCTACTCCAATGTCTGCAGCAGGCAGTGATCTGCACTGGAAAACTGGCAGAGACAAAACATACTATGCATTTCACAGAGTGACTGAAGTAATCAGAAGATACAAGACACTCACAAACAATGTCTGCACATAAAAACTAAATACAAGTGCACACTGTAGTAGGTGGACGGCAGTCTTCAATGCAACAATAACAACTCATTGCACAATGCAATCAAATAATACATTGCAAGGAGCAACTTAAAAATAAAACTACAAAACATTGGGATTGGACGGCATTCAATATTTGGCTTAGGACAATTATACCAGTACATACCATTGTGATTAATCATAAAACATAATGAAAGAATATCAGTATATATGATAATAATAACAATATAACAATCTGTGTATAAGTTACTAATTCACTATTTTGTAAACATTATTAAATCTTAGCAGTATATACAACATTCTGAATACTCTCCTACTGTTCCAATGTGCACACAGTTCCCAATGCTGGGCTGATGACAAAGACAGTGCCACAGAACCCAGCAGGTTCAATGTACACAATGAAATTAATACTATGACAATTGAAAATATCAATTCATATTTTTTTAACAATGTCAATGGCATAAAAGCAGCAAAAGCTGTGAGATTTACATATATGTGCCAACTTAAATATTCTTTTGAAAACAAACAAACAAAAAAAATTGTTCCAACTGAAATCAGTTTTCAGTAACCACGATTCCACACATGCACATATAAATGATAAGCCTGCACACTAGGACAGTTGGATAGTACAATAGGATAGTTGTCAACACTAAAGGATAAATTGCTTATTAAAAGTATCAGACAAAAATCAAGAGTAAATCATACTTTTTCTTTAGAAATAAAATTTTAACAATAAGATATGTTATCTACTAACTATGTAGTGGCAGACTGGAGTTGTTAGACCAGTATTCTACATCTAGTGTGATGTCTTAGCACTACGTCAACACTGTCACCAGGGACTGGCTAGAACATACTGGCATTTGGTTGCCATGGAGATAAAAACAGACAATGCCACCACAGTACCATTGTTTTACATAAGATATATATAAAAATTAAGTCACATTTGCAAAATCACAACCATATAATAATTTGGTCCCAAATACACAAGCATACATAATATCACAGTGTCAGGGCCTAAACCATCTGTATTGAGACTCTCTACACAGTGACTGTACAAACACTCTATAGAGATCTTCAGTGTGCATTGTCTACTGTACCTTAACAAAACAACAAAGCTGACATACATACTGATATCTAATACACTTAATCAGTGCAGTAATTCAGATAGTTCCATACTACAGTAAACATGCACAAGGACATCATCAATAACAAATGGCTCTCCTGCACAGCTCCACTGGACAGCAGCCATCTTGCTGGAGGAAATCTGGGCAAGATTAGAACACCAAGGTCAAGGCCATGGAGTTCCCGGCAGGGGAGTCATACAGACATGCTAATGCTTTTTGGGTACATAACTGGATTTTTAAATAAACAGACTAACTTTGTGATCTACTGCTAAAACAGGAATGTGTTTCTGTAGTGAGGAGGTACATGTGTGTATACATGGAGTAGGGAAGATTTAGCTAACCTAATGTGCTATACAGAGTGGAGTGGGGGTGGGGACGGGGGTGGGGGGGACGGGGGTACTTACAAATATACTGACATAGTGTTTAAGTAGTAACCTTGAAAGATTCTGTTTTTTGTTGTAACCTGCATTGAGAGAGTGAGGGAAAGTGTGTATGCGCACGTGTGTGTGTGTGTGTGTGTGTGTGTGTGTGTGTGTGTGTGAAAGAGAGAAACTTTCTGCATAAAAAAATATATGATTTTCATTGAGCAAAATTTATCCTGCAAAGCTTGCATGGATTGAACAATTCCTTACTTTTTCCTCTCCATTAAGAGAATTTCACATTTAATAATGTTTGCATTTTGACAGGATATCTAAACATTTCAAAGTCTTTGTCCAAATATTCCCCAGAATTAATTTCTTCTCATTCCTACTGATGCAGATGTCCTGACTAACTCTCCTTGAACCTAGTGGCAGCTACAGTGTACCAGCACACAGCCTAGAAACTCTCTCCTTGTCATTCTATGATAGAAGGTGTCCTCCTAAAGCTATCACTGCCCCCTATAGGACCAAGAGGCATTCTCCTCTGATGTGCATTAGGAGACATGTCATAATATCCACTCTCCACCAGAACACTCTCTATGATGGTATGCAGTTTTTCATATGTTATTCCCTCGCTATCATGGTGCTCCAAGGTGTGTGTGATAGCTGGTTTCTCTGTATTAGTGGTCACAGCATCTTGCTCTAGGCTGGCTTGCTTACTGAGCATGCTCATGTCACTTGGGCCAAAGTTCAAGTCTATCACCTCCTGGGAGCCTATCAGGAGCTGGAAACACACATTACCATATACTTAGTGTACATGGATAGTAAAAAAAATGAAAAAAGTTAGCTTTTAACTAAAATGATTGCCAATCAAGAACTTAAAATAAACTTCACCAGTTTGTCAGAGACTGGGCAGCCAGTTTCACTGATACATTTGGACAAATAGAGCCAGTTGATTTTATCATAACATTAAAATAATGTGTCTGTAATATTAATACACCATTCTGTAGATCAGTTACACCTATAACTTGGTGCCCATGTTGTGCTGGCACTAGTACTGTCCCAGGCTAGGTTTGTGCAGAGCAGTTCTCTCTGCCAGGTCTCATACCTTCTTTAGTTCACTTTTCAGGTTGAAGGATGTGCTCTGTGGAGCAAACATGGCTCTCTTGAACCGCTCTATGATTCTCCGCCGGGGATTGTGACACAGCGTGGGAGGGAGCTACAAAGAGAACATCAGTGAACTGAAATCCAGACTGGATTCCTCTGAATCTTCACAATGCACCCAATCATACAGTAAGCTACATGGAGCTCATATGTCCAAAAATGTAATGAAAAATTATAATCCTGACAAAATTTAATTACATGACTTTAATGTAGATGACCTTATGTGTGTACCTGAGTGATGTAGATGATCTTATACAGTATATATGTACCTACCTGAGTGATGTAGATGATCTTATACAGTATATATGTACCTACCTGAGTGATGTAGATGATCTTATACAGTATATATGTACCTACCTGAGTGATGTAGATGATCTTATACAGTATATATGTAC